GTGAACTTTACAGCATAGTATGCGGTTAAGTGGACTACAAAGTGTGCAGTAAAGTGCACTTTACCGCATAGTGTGCGGTAAAGTAGAATTTGATATTTATAATCAAAAATCCTTTTTTTTTCCAGAAAATGGATTTTTGATAATTTCTAAATCTAATTTAATTTCATTAATTAATCTGATTCAATAATTAATTTTATCAATGCCCTTTTTTGGAGATGTAGATGCTCATAGGTAAAATTTTGTACCTAACACATGCAGAAAGTGCCTTTACCGCCCTTAACGGCTTGACCGAACTCCGCTTCGCGTATCACTTTCCGCATTTGTTAGGTAAATAACTATTTCCGCACTCGACTGCATCACCGAACTCCGCTACGCGTCGTTCGGTGAACGGCAGCCGCGTGCGGAAAAATTCATTTTCCGCACTTGTTAGGTAAATAGCTATTTCCTACAGCCGTGCGGAAAAATCGATTTTCCGCACTGATATGCGTGCGGAAAATGAGTTTTCCCGCACGGTGCGGTAAAACTTTTTTTTTTGACATATCAGTGCGTAAAAAGTTTTTCCGCACGGCTGTCAGTGCGGAAAAAAATTTACCGCACTGATATGTCAAAAAAAAAAAAAATTACATTTTTTCGCCTGTAGGAAAAATATTGTACCTAACACTTGCGGAAAATATTTTTCCGCACTCGGCTGCATCACCGAACTCCGCTACGCATCGTTCGGTGAACGGCAGCCGCGTGCGGAAAAATTCATTTTCCGCACTTGTTAGGTAAATAGCTACTGTTATACCTAGGTAAATTTTGTGCTATCTATGTTTAATTTTTAGTTTTTCATTTCTGGTTTTTTTAATAGTTAAGGTTAAGTTTATAATTACTACGGGTTTATTTTTTAAATTATTAAAATATATGAATACAGGGTGTCCCACGGTGGATGGCGTATTAGACGTTTATAGAGAACTGAAAAGCCGATCATTTTGAAAATTTGGCAACCGGGATAAATGACCATAATCTACACTTTAAAAATATTTTTGTTTATGCTGTGTTGCCGCTTCTACTCTAAACCAGCAACATCGCTATTTTAAATAGAACATCCTGTATATGATTGCATATTTGGATTCTACGTGTCAAACTTCGAAAATCTCTTCCAGTCCATAGTCTTCCCCGATGGTACCCATTACAGAGGCTGCGTTGCCACGCTGCACAGCTAAGCTGATCCTCTGAGTGATGAAGCTAAGAGACCGCTGACAAGGGATCTTGGAAGCAATCTCTTGGACCAACCTCTTAGCCTCATCGCCCCAAGGACCCAATGTCTCTATGGCGATGGGAACAAAAACAAAGCGATCCTCCAGCTCTTTATATTTGATATGTTTTTTAGATTCAGCAAGTAGAGCAGCTGACCCAAGTGCTTTCGATGTTCTGTCTAGATAGGATTTTGCCAAGGTATGGCTACATGTTGCATCCCAAATCAGTTGCTTTCCCTGTTTCCATGGGATCAAAGTCATTCCATCCGCTCTCTTACCGTCATTTCTACAAATGCCGAGCGGCTCTAAAACTGCTGGGTGTTCAGCAGAAATCAAAGCACGCTTAATTATGTCATTGATTTGACTATGCCTGGAAGCACGACCTGCACTCTTTTTGCAGCTAAGCCCATGCGAGCCATATATATCTACTGTTTCGCCGCAAATGCAGGGGTGCTCCACAGCCACAGGCAAACCAAGTCTAATTGCAATTGATATTCGGAAACATGTATTATCAAGCTGGTTTCCCAAGGAAGCGGACGGAAGAGCATTGAGCCATGCACTGGATTCAGGAGCTTGAAGAGCTAGGAGACGCGCCCGGTCTTCATTTGTTTGACATTCAGACCAAAGTTGTTGTTTGCGAAATTGACACATTGAAAAATCAAAATCTTTTTGTGATTTTTTAAATTCTCCAGGAACGCAACTTAAATTTGAAAGCGAAAGCCATTTTTCAGTGCATAAATCAAGGTCTAAATCACAGAAATTTGAAATATTTTCAGGCAAAATACTATTAAGTAGTTTAGATGAATCATTAATGGAGCCCAAAAAAGCAGATATTGATAATGTACTGGCATCCCTTATTCCGAGGCCGCCCAATTTTACGGAAAGTGTACTTTGGCTCCATGATTTTGAACTGATCGGACAATTCGTAATATCCTGAAGACAGTTTTGTAAAATAGTGTCATATTCTTCTAATGATTCCGGGTTTTTCCAACAAGGAACACATCGCAGTAAATAATATGAGATTCGAGGTATAGAAAAAGATGATTTTAACAGAAAGTAGGCCACATGTGAATCAAGTAATTTTAGTTTATCACGCATTTTGTTAAGAAAATTGATTTTATCTTTAACTTTCAAATTAATTTGCTCAGGTGAAAACGCATCCGAGCAAATTAAAATTGGAAATTGGAACTTCTAATAAATTTGAGGCAATATCGTGAAAATCGGATATTATAGATGAAGGATTTGATGATATAGTAGATATTTCGCATTTATTAAAATTTAGAGAAAGGCCGATATTTTGACTGGCAGAAATTAATTTTTTAAAATTTTCTAAAACATTTTCGGGATCTCCTGCCAAAATGCCGTCATCCAAGTACCACAAATTTAAATCGAGCGAGTTTATAGAAGACACTATGCTGTGAATTGCCAAACAAAATAATGGAGGACCCAAAGGATCTCCTTGTTGGACGCCCCGTCTAGAGAAGATATTTTCTTTGCCATATGAAAGAAAAGTTTTATCGCTATAACATTGATAGATAAAATGAAAATATTCAGGAAGATATTCTTTGACTTTCATTAAAATTATATTTCTATTTACCATGTTGAAAGCATTTTGATAATCAATTTTTAAAATAATTTTGTCAGAAGAATGAGGAAAATTATTGAGGTACCTCCGCATTGCATGGGCAGCCGCTTCCGTACCACATTTCGTACCAAATCCTAATTGAAAAGGTCTGAAAAGGCTTCCTAGTTTATCATAAACTCGAGAGCAAATTATTTTAGCTGCTAGACGACGAAGGCAGAGTCCGACTGCAATAGGACGTATACCTCCACTTTTTTTGTTAAAAGCGCAAAGGTTTGCGCCATAAAAAATTAAGCGTATATCTTCTGGTATAATATCAGAAAAAAGATGATTTATGAATAAACAAAGAGATGATAATAATTTAGAATTTGTACCAAGTTTGTAACCTACTAAATCTTTGAGGTGGCGTGGTCTAAGGGATCGATACCACCGGAGGAACCAGGACTGAAAGAGAAAACGGCGTTTTTTACCTCTTTTTCAGTTACACTTAAAGAATTTTGATTAGAAATATTTTCGAAAACTGGAATTTTATCGCTAATATCTGGATTTGGATGTTTTTCTTTCAACTTTAAGAGGGTTTCTTCATTTTTTGGTGCAAAAGTATCGTTTGACGTCAATATTCGGATAGCATTCTTCACGTCTCCTTCTGAAATTTTGGATTGTATTTTCTTTGCCAAAAACGTATCTTGATTAAAATTCTTAAGGGTTTTGAGTTGTTCTTTATTTTGTTCAGGTTTCTTATATTGCTCAAGAAAATCAAGCGTGGAAAGTTTTTTGCTTTTAATCCATAACGAAAGGTTCTTCTTGACTAAACTTGTCAATGAAGATTTTCGGTTCAGTTTAGAATTTTCAGGTAGGGCCAAAACAGAATATGGAAAAATAAGAAGTAACATCCAAGAATGTACATCATTTTTCAAAACACACTGCATTAAAATTGAGCTAAGTTCTTCGGAAATAGGAATCCTAACTCATATCTTAGATTTTTATAAACTATCATTTGACACCAACTTTGAATTTAATCCATGATTAAAAATTCCAATTAAATTTCATCTCCGGTTAAATTCAAAGTTGGTGTCAAATGATAGTTTATAAAAATCTAATATAGGAATGTAAAATCGGTTTTCCTTCAAAATTAACCGTTTAGGTTTTACAGCCTGTCAAAGTTGCAAAAAGTCAATTTTCAACTGTCAATATTTCCAAAACAGTTGAACTTAGGTATAGGGGCCGAGTTCGTTTTTGTCATCTTTTTCGTCGATTTCCTCCGAAATTTTGACAGACACGTGATTTGTAACTTGAAATTGTCTTATTCAGTCACGTGCCTGTCAAAACTTTAGAGCAAATCGACGAAAAAGATGACAAAAACGAACTCGGCCAGGATATATCACATGAAATCTGTTCAGAATTTTACGTAGAATCCAAAAATGCAATCATATACAGGGTGTTCTATTTAAATTAGCGATGTTGCCACTGGTTTAGAGTAGAAGCGGCAACACCGCATAAACAAAAATAATTTTAAAGTGTAGATTATGGTCGTTTATCTCGATTGCCAAATTTTCAGAATGATCGGCTTTTTAGTTCTCCATAAACGTCTAATACGCCATCCACCGTGGGACACCCATGTAAATACAAATGTTGTATTGACACCTTTTTGATACCTATTCAATTAACCTGTCCAGATGGGGTGCAAAAATATATGGAGAAAACCCTAAACATAGAGGTACCTACGTATTTATACCTACACATAAATACGTAGGTATTATAGTGAAAAATAAAACCATATAAATATGTATTGTATTTTCAAGTTACAATTTTCATACTCAATAAATGAGGGGCTTGGTTCTAAAAAGGCCAAAGTCATGAAATGTAGATTTTGACAAATCGACTTTAAAAAAAAAAAGCTTTATGTTTCAAAGCATTTTTAAAAACATAATGTTAGCTCCAGAAATTTTCTTATAAAATGGTATTTTGAGGCGGATCGTTCTCATACTTTTGAAATGGTTTGAGATTTTTTGAAACTCTTTTCAAAAACAAAATAGACATTGGCCGTTTTTGGATTTAAAATAAAAGTAAAAAAATACACTTTGGCCTAACGCCTGGAAATGAAAATGCAAAGAATTTTAAACGAATTTTTATTTTTAACACATGAAACGTATATAACCAGAAAAAATAATATTATGAAACTAATGAAGGTCGTCAATATCTTGATTTTCGTCTTCATTTTCGCTCATTGTATCGTTTGCTGTTTGTGGTGTATTGATGCCATTGATAAATTGCAAATAGTAAGGTCGACTGTTCTCGTGGATGTACGGTAACATGTCTCTTAAATGTTGCAACTTATTCGCGGGTATACCAAGAGGTTTCTTTGAGATTGGTAGGAGGTTTGTGGTTTCCGAATGTCTAGTTTTTTTTCTTGACAAATCCAAGCTTTTGCAAGGTTCATCGTCGAAAGACGTCTTGTATTGTATCAAACCGAGGTTTTCACTGGAATACTGAATTACTCTTATTGTAGACCAAACTACTGGTTCCCCTAACGTATTTACTTTTTTATGTTGGAACTTTCCAGAAAGAAGTGATTTGAAATTAAGAAATTCTTCTTGACGCATCTCTTGAACGAGAATAGGTGGTCTTCTTGGTACTAAACGGATCAAGTTATATCGAGGAATATCTATTCTAGCTGTTGTTGATTTTTTAGTTTTCTCAATCGCTGCGTGGATTTGGTCTGCTTCCATGTGAGTGTGCCCTGGGACTAGAAATTTATGACAAATTTTCATGTGTTTCTGTTCTCTGTTAAATTTTTCCATGAGGATAAGAAGCATTACGGATACCAAGATGTTCTTATTTTGTCCAGGGCAACAATCACTGTACATATTGATTTCATTGATATGGGGAGGAATATTATTAATAATGTATGTATACAAACACGATGCAACTTCTTGTCCACCCCTTTGAGCGATGGTCTCGTCCCAAAGATAACATTTTGCTGAATTAGTACTTCCGTGTGATTCATAGATAGTGAGATTTGGCGTCCATAGTTTTCGTTTATAGAATGATATGCTGCTCTTCAAATAGGGTGTCGGCAAACACTTTTGTAGGTCAAAGCTTATAACTAAAAGATTAGGATTGGTTTTGCACGCAAAATTGTCTTTCTTCTTTTCTTTATATGCAGCATCTGCTAAATTCAAGTGTTCAGCTTTTTCATTTTCAATTCTCATCTTTTCCTCTTCGTCTCGGACAGACTTCAATAAACATTCATATTTATCACAGGTACCACAAGTGTCGTTATAAGGCTTTTTAAAAGCTATGTTGAACTCTTCTACAAAAATTTTCCTATACATGAATTCATTTCTTGGTACTATAGTGTTTTCTTGGCAGTATTCAACATACAGTTTATACATTTTTGATATTGAAAGATCAGAAGCTAAGTATTTTTTTGCAGTTTGTTCTCTTGAATAATGACTTTCACACGAGGGAAACATCTCAATGTGTCGTCTTATAATATTTTTTTCTTCTTCACTTATCTTTGGGTGATTTGCATGTTTCCCTCTCGCATCATCAAAACAGATGCTTGAATTTGAAGTGCGTTTTTTTTCTACGATAATCCGAACTTTCTTTAAGGTCAAATCAAGTGTTGACAAAAACATAATTTGACAAACTTCAATTTTCTCAAAATTTTTTGTATCCAAGTAATAAATTCTACTGTAGGTTCTTCTGCTTTCTCTGTTATTTCCCCTCAGCCTCTCTGTTTTCTTGAGAATTTCTACAACATGATTTGCAATAAACTGATTTTGTGCTTCCTGTAATAATTTATAAAAATCCGAAAAGATGTCTTGTCTTTTTTCATTTGAAAATTTTTCATAGCACTTCTTTTTACAGCGACAAGGATCTTGCAAGGACTTCTCGGGAATATGTTTTCCTTTTATTGTGACATATGACTTGCCTTGAGTTTTCAGAGATTTTCGTTTATTCTTTTCCCAATATTTAGGTTCGCGCTTTCTTTTTCTAGAGTCTTCACCGTCTTGCACCTTTTTTCTTCCTCTTCTCTTTCTATTCTCTTTCGATGTGTTGCGATTAGCATGAATATTATTTCGAACATCGGCCGTAACATCTATGCCATAGGGTTCTTCCGAGGGTTCTTCATCTGAATTCGAACTATTGTTCTCACCATTACTAGATCCATCTTCAAGATTATCAATATTATTGTGGCCATTTTCTTCATATGAAATATTCAATAATCCAGGTGCTGTCCGTTGTTCATTTTCATGTTTCTTGGTGATTTCTCTAGAATCTTGATTCACCCGGGGATTCACCACTCCAAAAACATTACTTTCTGCAAAAAAAAGAGGGGTTGGTGTAACCCATTCTGATTTTGGATAAACATAAAATACTATGACTTACCTGATTTACTGGTGCCAGGCAAGCAAGAAATAGGACGGTTAGTTACATCAGCAAATGGAATGTCTGTACGTAGTAAAATCGGCATTCCACTATAGCGCGTGGTTTGGCGAGCCTGGCATGTGACTTGGGCTTGTTGTGGCAGAAGACAAAAAAAAAACATTGTTACTTAGAACTTTGGTAGGCATACCGCTGGTAATTGAAATTCAACAATAAATCGTCTACTTTTTACGCATTACCTAAACCTAATTTTAATGGCTAAATTCAAACTACTTACCTTGATTCTCATTATTTTTTTTGTTTGTTGAAGCTGCACACAAACTCAATATTCTATTACCACGGGAGGACATGCTAGCAAAAAATGTCAAAAAAAAACTGAAAACGTCATAATTACCCGCCTAGATGATTTCTTCGAAGGTGGTGGCCAATGTAGCACTAATATGTAGATGATAAACAAAAAAAAGGTCAATGTTCACTTAGACCTTTTTATAAGTTATGTTCCATAGTTTTTTGGGCCTATGTCTACATTGGCCTTTTTATCTGTAAAATAAAATGTAATTTGAATTTGAACATTGGCCCTACGTACTTTTGAAACGTGTTTGCCACTCTAAGCAGGCATTGGCCCTTTTTACTGATGATAGTTCTTTTTAAATGTAGCTTGAAAATGCACTTAAGCCAAAATCACAGAGAATTGACATTGGCCCTTTTAGAACCAAACCCCAGAAATATGTGAGGATTTAGGGCATAAAGACCCCGTAAAATAAACACAAACACTTCCCAGTAAATAGAACACTATATTTTTCGAAATATAGTGAAACAATAAATAACAATAGTAACAATAGTACACAAAATTTAGCTACACGAGTGCGCGCCGAAAAAGAACAACAATAATTTTTTTAATTCTCAGGTTTCCACCCAGCGACGTGTTCTCTACTGACACACGACTCGATCCGTTTTTGCGCCTCCAGTTTTTCTTCCAAAAAACTGGTGATCCGTCATCATATCAATGTCAAGGCAACAGCAACCAGTGTTGCCGCATTTTCGAGTGTGTTTCAGCGGACGCATCGCTTGGCCCTTTAAATTTTCAATACAATTTTTTTTTTAATGAAAACTAATAACAAATAACAGTAAAAATTAATATTCTAAGTCCAACGCTGACACGGCCAGTCTGACACCTAATTCGATCTCGAATTACATTGTCATAGGTAGAATATTCGCTCGCGCCAATGCCAGGTACACCATTTTTGGAAATCTAAAACAAAACGTGTGTTTTTTTTTATAGCCGTCTCATCAAGATGGACTAGATACAATCAAGTGGGTATCAAGTTCGGTCTTTCACAAGATAAGATTTATTAACATTCAAGATATTCTTTGAGCAAAGCGTGGCAACTTTCAACTCACATACCTCTCATCTTTAGGCAAAGCGTTTCGGCTTCCAACCACCTTTGAGCAAACCGTTGACAACTGTCAACCCACATTGGGCAAAGCGTTTTAGCTTCCAACCCCTTTTGAGCAAAGCGTTGACAGCTTTCAACTCACATCTGGCAAAGCGTTTCAGCTTTCAGCCTGCTTGGAGCAAAGCGTAGCAGCTTTCAACTCACTTGTGGCAAAGCGTTTCTGCTTTCAGCCTGCTTGGAGCAAAGCGTTGCAGCTTTCAACTCACTTGTGGCAAAGCGTATCAGCTTTCAACCTCTTTTGAGCAAAGTGTACCAACTTTCAACTCACATTAAGCAAAGCGTATCAGTTTTCAACTTTCTTCGAGCAAAGCGTAGCAGCTTTCAACTCACAATAGGCAAAGCGTTTCAGCTTTCAACTAACACTATTAAGCAAAGCGTATCATTATTTTTATAACGCTGACACGGACTATCTTAAATTACCTATGCTATTTCTCCGCCTCGTTTACTCGTCTGAGAGTTCGCCAGGCCACAAACGAATCATGTCTCTCGCAACGGTTCTCTTTCTATTAGTCGCTATGTTTTTAAGCTCTAATCTGTCATTCGGGAGGAACTGAATTACTTCAAAAAGACCTTCGTACCTGAAAATAAAATAGGGCTCCATAAAGGGGTAAATTGGTACAAATCGCCATTTTATTTTAATTGTTACATGAACATAAAATCGCGCTTCGTCCAATAGGTCATAGGCTATTTACCTAGCATCCAGTTTTGCTAAATGACTATCCCCAGAAGGGTGAAATACCATGTCTCCAATCGAAATTTCTTTGTTTGGGATTCTCGTTTTATCAAATAAAGATTCTCTGAGATTTTTGTTGCTGATATAGATTCCGTTAATGTTTTGATATCGGGAATGTTGCCCTCAACTCCAATTAGGAGGTAGATGGGTGTGAAGCCTGTAGTTTTTTGTACTGTCGTGTTTAAAGTGGATTGTAATTTTGAAAGTAGACTCGGCCATTCTGATTTATTTGAGGTATCGATTTCAGTGCGTAAGAGATCCAGGACTGTTGAGACATATCTCTCTACCTGGCCATTACCCCGAGGCGCACTTTTTGCGATCAAGTGATGATTTATACCTTGGTCTTTTAAAACGACTTTCACTGATTTGTCTGTGAAGTTAGTGCCCCTATCAGAAATCAGGGTCTTTTTTAGGGAAAACATTGCAAGATATAGTTTTAGAGCGTTTTAAGAGGAATAAGGAACAAATATTTCGTAAAAGCATCCACGAGAAGTAGGATGTGCTTGTAGCCGTCGGCTGATATTGGGAATGGACCAACACAATCAGCGTGTACTGTCAAAAATGGGACTGGCTTTTTATCAATAGGATGCAGTTTACTTTGTTTGGCACCGGTGTGCTTTTTGTTAACGATGCACTTCAAACAGTGATCGCAGTATTTGTTAATGAATTTCGTCATTTTTGGAAACCAGAAATAATGGTTGACTTTTGCGAACGTTTTGTCTGGCCCTACGTGGCACTGTTCGTCGTGAAATAATTTAAGTAGGCCTAACCGACTGCCTTTTGGTACGTGTTGTGATCCTTCAGTGTTTTGCCTTGGTTAAAACTACTTTTGTTTTTGGTTTGAAACTTGTAGCTTTATTAGGTAATGGAATATAGAATGAAATTGAACTACAGCAATAGTAAGACTTATTTTAGAGAGAGTTTTAACAAAATGTGTTACTACGACTGAAGCTGTCTTCAGACTGTCTTCTTGCTTCACTAGATCTCTTACAAATGGACCTTTACATCCCTTCTAAAACGTTTCTAAAACCTACATAATTACAACTGGAAAACCCTAAATAAATATTGGCAATAAATGACAGTCTGTTCGCCCAAAGAATGACCATTAAGGATATTTGGGAATTTTGGGGTTTATGGTGGACAAATGTTTAATTTATTTACATACAATATCTTTGGGTTCTTTAACAGAAAGTCTGGGTCATATAATAATATTGCTTTCGGCGACGGCGAGTACCAAGTTTGTAACCTACTAAATCTTTGAGGTGGCGTGGTCTAAGGGAATCGATACCACCGGAGGAACCAGGACTGAAAGAGAAAACGGCGTTTTTTACCTCTTTTTCAGTTACACTTAAAGAATTTTGATTAGAAATATTTTCGAAAACTGGAATTTTATCGCTAATATCTGGATTTGGATGTTTTTCTTTCAACTTTAAGAGGGTTTCTTCATTTTTTGGTGCAAAAATATCGTTTGACGTCAATATTCGGATAGCATTCTTCACGTCTCCTTCTGAAATTTTGGATTGTATTTTCTTTGCCAAAAACCTATCTTGATTAAAATTCTTAAGGGTTTTGAGTTGTTCTTTATTTTGTTCAGGTTTCTTATATTGCTCAAGAAAATCAAACGTGGAAAGTTTTTTGCTTTTAATCCATAACGAAAGGTTCTTCTTGACTAAACTTGTCAATGAAGATTTTCGGTTCAGTTTAGAATTTTCAGGTAGGGCCAAAACAGAATATGGAAAAATAAGAAGTAACATCCAAGAATGTACACCATTTTTCAGCGCTCCATGCTAGAGGTGGAATAGGGGACATCGTTTTCGTTCTCTATTGAACCTTAGACTTCTTCTCAGCATTTCATTCTTTTGTATTAAAATTGACCCGTGAGATGTTAACTTGCTAGATCTGCATAATAAACATTAAGGATTTTAAATAAGAATAATTCTCAGTGGACTTTATGTTCTTGTTTATCCGGCACCTTGACAATGCTAAAGGTCTTGTTGTATAGAGGACGGAAAAACCTGTCTTTATCAAAATTTATGGCGAAATGTATACAATATACGCAAAGCGCCGGTTTACATGTAAATGTGTAAGTATTTATGACCGTTGGGCTCTTCCCTCGTTCTCTGTGGGCTATTTTCTTAGCAGTAGTGACGACATATAAGGAAAATTCATTGGGAAAATTAAATCATAGGATTGGGGATAACGGCTGGATTTTTTACGTTTTCTTCTTAAGATAGCGGGTAAAGCAGCCAAACAAGTTTGTTTTTCTAAAATAATTCTTTATTACTAACCAAGCTTTCGATACTTTTTTGTATCTTCTTCGGGGCTAAAATTATATAAGTTAAAATTATAAAATTACAAAATTGTGACTTACTTGTAAATGAATTATTTAAAATAAAAACTGCATATATAAGTATAAAATTTGTATAACGACTATAAAGTTAGAATTGTGAAGTTTTTTTGAAAAATTTTTTGGTTGTTAAAACAAAGTCTTTTTCCTACAGCCGTGCGGAAAAATCGATTTTCCGCACCATTAAGGATATTTGGGAATTTTGGGGTTTATGGTGGACAAATGTTTAATTTATTTACATACAATATCTTTGGGTTCTTTAACAGAAAGTCTGGGTCATATAATAATATTGCTTTCGGCGACGGCGAGACATTATTTGGGAATTTTGGGGTTTATGGTGGACAAATGTTTAATTTATTTACATACAATATCTTTGGGTTCTTTAACAGAAAGTCTGG